TCGGGAGAGGCAGCGTCTTCCTTGAATACTACTGCAGCCTCAGTGTGGATTCTGAAAGAATCCTGCATTGCACTTTGAATGTCCACTACTAAGAATATTCAGTACCAAGACAAAAAAAAAAAAAAAAAAAAGCTGTTTATGCAGCAGTTATGCTGCGCACAAGTTAGTCTGTATTTCTAAATAACTGTGCCTTTAAGGGGCTACTAGCAGAAAACTGTCTCAGCTGCTTCTGTGCATAGCAACAGCATTATCTGTCTATTCATCTAAGGTGTCTTGCTTTTCTGGTCCTTTTTAATCTACTAGAACAGTGCAGTTGGCCATAAATCCTTAGATTTATCTCTTTGCTTTACCCCCTCCTCTACTACCTGTTAGCTTTCAGTGGCCTTGACGAGACTAGTGAACTCATCTGTTGTCCTAATGCAAGCTGCTTCTCTTCCTCAGGACCTCAGATTCTGAATACATTGGGAAACCAGGTGGAGATGAAAAGCAGCTCTATCGTCAAGAGTTGCAGGAGCAGTTTTATTCACAGTAAGGTGAAAATGTTGGTATGCACATACTTAGCAGTATGTTGTATCTAGTCTACCTGCGTTTCTCTGTGTCAGGGCATGTGCAGTCTCTACCCTTGTTCACTTGAGGGTAGGTTATTGGTAACTTTTGCAGTCACTGCATCCAGGTCTGCAGAAGCAGACCTTGTGGTGCTCTTAGTCCAGATATCCAAACTCTTGGGGTATTTTTCACATGGAACAGTATTATCAAGAAGTCCCGGTCACTCTTAGTATTCTTTTGAACAAATACCAACAATTTCAAGTGAGGGTGTTGGAGACAAAGCTTGTTAAATCGTTACAGTAGAGCTCCAGCTTATTTGCAGCCAGAGGCAGGAAAAATATTGTCCTTGTTGCTAAATGAGGTTCTCTTGTGGATGTAACTTGTTAATGGTTTTTTGGGGGAGCTTGTGCTTTTCTGGCTGTCCACTTCTATTATATTGTCCTTCTAAGAATCAGCCCTTCTCAGGATTCAGTTAATCTTTCTTTCTAGAAAGAATAGCTTTACCTTTATGTAATTAAAACTTTTTTGTTATGCTTAGCTGTTTAAGTATTCATGCTATTTTAGTATAGTAAAATGTTGAAGTCCTTTATTGCTGTTATGGTTGTCATTTCCAGACTTCCTTCTAACTTCCTTTTCATTTTTTTCCTGAGTTTTTTTCTTTTTTTTTTTTCATTTTTTTTTCCTAAGTTAAAAACATCTACAGCTAGAAGCCTCGAACTAATCCTTCTCATCCTATTTGAAGCTCACCTGTTCTGTAATTCTACATTTACCATTAATATTTTTGACAGCTGTCATTCCAATTCTAATCCGTGTAATGATTTTTTCAGGAAAAATGTGTAATGCTGAAAAGGTCTGACTGTTATACCAGTGCTTTTATCAGAACCTTTGTCAAAAACGTTCCACCAGAAGATTCTGATCAAGTTAATTGGATAAGATACTTTCATCAATCATTTAATTCTTTACAAATAATATGTATGCAGTGTTGACTGTGAACCTGCTTGGTGTCAGATCACTGTTGGCTGTAGATTGTCCCATTTCCCTTTTACAGTAGGCTTTTGAATGTAAGACTGGTTTTCTTCCTGACTTCTGAGTCTTACCCAGGATTCAGGTTATATAGAGGTCTTTTTTTTTTCAAAGCTCTGGATTCCAGAAACTGAGTGCAAGGTATCTGGTTCTGTTGATATAAAAGTTCTGTGCCCACTTGATACCCTTAGATCAAACATGGTATAATTGTATTTTTTCTAAGATAGGTTTATTGAACTTTTATTATTTTGATGCTAACCTTTTCTGTTGTATCTGACATCTTCTGCTGCTCAATTCTTCTACCTTTACACATTCATGTCAGTTCTTGTTCTCATAGCTAAAGAGAAAGCACCTGCAGGTGGTGGATGTACCACATCTTACTGACAGGTATGGCAGAGAACACCAGTGTCTACAGGTTGGTGCCTCTTAACCACTGGTGAAGAGAAGGTTTTTGATGCATATAGCATTGGTCCACATTTGTGTGAGACTTAAGATTGTGGCATTGCGAAGAAATCTAATATTGTATTGTCAAGAAAACATTGATTTACTTCTTTCTCTAGATTGATTACCCAGCCTGCCAGGTAGCACTTCTATTATGGTGAAGGACGTATAACACTATGCCTGGTACCTCCTGTCAGGGCTTATCAATGAGCAGCAGTGCTTCATCTCCAGAATAAATCAAACCCTCAGATCCAACATGGAACTTAGCTGTGTCCCAGTTAAAGCACTACAGTTTGTGTGCAATCAGCCTCAGTACTTGGGTGCCTATAGGAACCTCAGTTTCTTGCAAATCACATATTTAAGCACTTGCAAAAAAATTAATGAATGAATCTTGGTACGAATGTTAAATATGTCCAGTGCTGTTCCCATGTTGGAAGAGCTGAAGAAGTGATCGTGGCAGTAGTATTTGTGTTGGTTTGGGTTATGTTTGATTCTCATCAATGTCCTGTTTGATGGGTGTGTTTTGGTTTAGGCCCAATAAATGTTGCAAGTACATCAACTGTTGCATCACAAGTTACAAACTCAGGCAAAAATCACTGTGTGATAAAGGAAGCCAGGAAGCCACTCTTTTATCTAAGGATCTAGTCATTAGCAGGATAGCTTGGGAAAAATGAGCTTGATTCAGATTAAACCTGGGGAAATCCATGTCTGTGTAGACCCAGGAGAGTGCTGTATTACAGTCTGGAGTATTTTAATCAATTTGTCTCTGACATTATAGCTGGTTCTATACCTGTGAGATTAAGAGGTGGCACAGGACAAGCTTGTTTGTAGCTACCATGGGAGAAAGGATATGTCTTAATTCTAACCCCTGCTTAAATAGTCATTGGATATTATCCGGGGAAGCTTACCTTCAAACCTGCTAGCTTGAAAGATGATCCAAGTAACTCTCATCAGCCCTCTGCCACCTGCACAAGCTGTGGGGATTGATGGTAGCCTGGAGGACTTTTTTGATGTGGGGGAAAGCTTTTAAAGAAAGGTAGGAATAGAAAACTGTGTCCTCATTGCCTGGAAGACTAATTGGCCTGGTTAAGGAGGTATAAAAGTTTAGATGTACAGAGGGACAGGATTTAGTGGGAAGATGTTGATGGTAGGCGGACGGTTGGATGGGATGATCTTGGAGGTTTTTTCTAAAACCTCCTGGTGATTCTGTGTTTCTGTGAAATGGCTTAGCGTAAGTGGTGACGAATTCTTAAATAATCACAGTTAGGTTTCAAAGGCATTTAACCTAGAGGGATTTTTTTTTTCCCCAAAGTTTAGAGTAGACCAAGAAAGTAATTGAAGTATCTGAAATCATTGCAGAAGGCTTTATTTTTTTCTTTCTTCAAGTTCATAATTTTATAGTAGGACAATCTTCAGCTTGGAAACAGCCAGACTGCTCTGTATATGTATAGCTGGGGTAGAGATTGAGACACCTCTGTGCAGGAAGCTGTAAGAGCAGCTCTTGGAATTAATCAAATAACACCTCTGGAACGTCCTACTGGAGTCATTCAACTGGCTCTATCCCTCGAATTTTGTCAAGTACTTTTCATTTAAAGCAAGCTATACGCTGTAAGTAAACATCTCTGTGAACAGATGGTGTGTTAGTATTAGAAGTGTTTGTAAGAGAGTTTCATTAGCCAGATGAACTCAAGTAATCTTACTGACTGTTGGACTGTGTAACTTTTAAAACTGTTCCTGATTTGTTTCACCAGGCTACAGTAAGTACTGATGGAGGGAGGCAGTTCTACTTTAGAAATTCTGTCTAAGCTTTTCCCCAGCTTAATCTTTATAAGTTTGATGCTAAGCACTCTTTTCAAGATGGAAAATGTAACTGACATGGGAATTCTGGATATACAACTTGCCTCTATTGGATTTTTTTCCATCTGTTTTTGTTTTGTTAAGAAATACCAGTTTATTTATTATTGTTGATTGCTTTTTTCTTCTTTTATTTCAAAAACCAGGTGTAAGGGTCTATGGGACAGAATTGAGAAGAGTACACTTAAACCAATGTAACTCAGTGATATTGGTGATATTTTTAAATGAAGTAGAATTACAGAAGCCATTTGACTCATAATACACGTTTCCTGCATGGAAAAACTGTTATCTTCATCTTGTCTTAAGTCCTCATACCACAACAGCATATAAACCACATTATTATTTTTTTAATGGCTGGTTAATGTCACAGATAAATAAGCTTAGTTGGATTTTCCTTCTGCTGCTGTTACTTTGATACTCATCAAAGCTGAAGTGGCTCACTGCTTTCCTGGACCTCTTGCCTCTGTTTATTTTTCTTGCAGTTTTTAGCTGCTTATAAAGTTATTAAAGGACTGCCTACTGGCTATCAAAACAATGTGTCTTCAATTTGAATTTATTTTTAAAAGTACAGCTGTAAGATTGTACCTAAGAATTCATTCATCTCACTTGGACCTTTCAGTTATTCCTGTCTCTTTTGATGGAAAAATCAGGTTGGGGGAATAACAAGAAGAAAATAAATAATAGTACTGATGCTGCCCCTGTTCATAGATGTCAGTTGGTACCACTGTGATATAAACATACAGTATGTCTAATCTCTAAGGCAATTGCTCTGTTTTCATACCTTTCCAGTAGGCATTCTGTCAGTAGTGCCAGTCAAATTCGGACAAAACTCTTGCTTTATTATCAAAGGTTAAAAAATCTGGTTTCATATCTCAAAAGCTGTGATGGATCTTCTGAGGTTCAGCCACTAGAGGGGGTCTAAACCTACCCTCTGTGTAAGTACGGCTTTTCCTAGTCGATGAAGCATCATCTTCAAGCTTACGTGCTTGCTGAGATGTTGTGGAAGCATAGGTGTGTTTTAAGGTGTGTGCAACTTTGTAATTTAAAACAAACAAATCTCACATGAGGCTGTTTTTGAAGGATAACTCTTCAGAGATGTGTATAGTTTAACCATTTGAGTAACTTTTTCTTTGCAGGTGATCTTGTGAATTTGTGTACCGTCGATGATGGCAGAGCACCCACCGTTACTGGATACCAGTTCGATTATAAGTAGTGAAATCCCTCTTCTAACTTCCCCTATTGTTAGCGGGGATGGAGCACAACAGGTAAGAAAACTTCAATATCTTCTCTTTCCTTCCCCTTCTCTTTTTCCAACAGCATCATTGATATTGATACTGGAATATCTTCATATGAAGTATTTTTATGTAGCTCTGGTCATTAATGTATTTGAGGGACTGAGCTGAAGATGGAACTAGTGCAGAGAAGAGATTTTTTTAGGAATATGAAGCAGAAAAACTGTCTTCTGAAAGAATGTTTTCATAGAAATGCAAGACTAGGCAGCTGCCAAGCTGTTGAGCCATGGCCAATTCTTAATTTAGAAGCTACATATTTACATTATCACATGACCTTGTTGAGATTGATAAGCTTCGCCCCGTGTTAGAGCTTATTAGCTCATAAACATGCTAACAACTTTGGCCTCTAGAGTGACTGTCTTCCTTAAAAGTGGGCATCTTGAATGGTGGGACTTGCTCTTGGATGTTTGTGTCTGCCTGGATACTTTTTGAAGTATTCTGTTAGGGAAAAACAGTCAAGCTGATGACTAAGAACAACACAACTGCAGTTTTGTAATGCTTTAAAAGGGTCAGCTCCGGAGAGAAACTGTATGTGTGTGTGTGTGTGTGTATAAAATAATGATTCTCCCCATCTTTAACTTCAGAAGAATATTTTAGATTCCAGAGAAGCTTGATTCTGGAGCAGCTTCTAATTGAAGAAAAGGGGTGAAAAACAAAGTTGTCATGGAGCATCTGAACAGACTGAGAGATCACTGTCTGTGATGACAGGAGTCTGCTGGTCTCTTGTTTGATCTTTAGTTATCATAAAGAGGAATTGTTGAATTGTTTTGTAGGGTAAAAATAACAAAGAAATGTAAAATGAGATTGGAGCATTGATTGCAGCAGTTCGTGAAATTGGGTTTGGGCTGCAGTGAGATATTTGTAGAACAAGCTTAAATGCTGAGAAATCTCATTTATTAAATGCACAGACAGAACATTCCAGAAAAAGAGAGAAGAGGCAATACTTACTCTTGCTTTCTCCCAGTTCTGCTTTCAGATATGGAATTTGAGAAGCAGTAACCTGTAACATGCAAGGAAATGAATGTTACTATTTTCTTGCATGTTCTGCCTTATATAGTTTAATTTTGAAGCCTTGCAAACAGAAAGGAACAAAACATGCGTATGTAAAGTTAAGCATTCCACCATTTATTTTTTTCACCTGAATGTAAGTATTCTTTTTTTCCTACTGTTGTTGAAAACTTCTCGTAGACGTGTAGCACATTACTTAATGTTGGGAAGAATCTCTGGAGATCACGTTGTCAAACCTTCCCTACTCAAAGCAGGGTCAACTAGAGCAGGTCGCCCAGGGCCATGTCCAGATGGGATTTACATATTCCCCAAGAAAATTGACTTCACAGGTTTATTTCCCAACCACCCTCAGAATGAAATAATTTCTTAGGCTTCGTTGGAATTTCTTAATTTGTGCACGTTATCTTTTGTCCTGTCACTAGTGCTATTAAGAAGACTCAGGCTCTGTGTTGTTTATTCCATTCTGCTCTCAGGTATTCATGCACACTGATAATAAAATCCTCTCCTGAACATTCTCTTCTCCAGGCTGAACACTCCCAGCTCTGTCTCTCTTTACACATCAAACTCTACAGTTCTTTCAACATGTTTGTAGCTTTTTGCTGGAATATGTCCATGTCTCTCATACCAAGGAGCTCAGAACTGGGCCTACTACTCCAGATCTCATAGCTTCTAGCTGTGGAAAAGATCACCTCCCTTGGCCTGTTGGCAGTGTTCTACTTCACAGAATCACAGAATGGCCGGGGTTGGAAAGGACCTCAAGGATCATGAATCTCCAACCCCCCTGCCACATGCAGGGCCACGAACCTCCCCATTTAATACTGGACTATGCAGCTTCATGCAGCTCAGGAAGCTGTTGACCTTTGCTATGAGGGTGCATTGCTGGCTCACATTCAACTTGTCCACTTGGAACCTTAGGTCCAGTTTTGTAAAGCCACTTTCCAAACATGGTAGGTACTGTTGCATGAGGTTGTTCTTCTCCAGAGGTGGGACTTTGTGTTTCCCTCCGCTGAACCCAAAGATGCCTGCTGGTCCATTTCATTTGCTAGTTGAGGTTTTCTAGTTGGCAGAACAGCTATCAACTCCTCTTCCAGACTTTATGCCACTTGCAGACTTGCTGATGATGCACTGTGTCCCATCTTGCAGGTGTTCACTGAAGATAGTAAACAGTATTCTGCCCCATGACAAGCAGTGAGGTGGACAGTTGCTGATAGCTTTTACTGATGCTGGCAGTTCAGCCAGTGCTCAGTCTATTACACTGCCTATGTCTAAACTGTAGCTCGTCATTTTCCATATGAAGATGTTATGTGAGACAGCATCAGAAGCTTTACTGAGGTCATGACAAACAGTATCTACTGCTTTCCCCTTGTTTACCATGCTGATAATTTCATTGTAGAAGGCTATGCAGATTTATCAGTTTCTCCTCTGTGAATTGGTACAGGTTACCCCCAGTCACCTTTTTTTTTTTTTTTAAATCCACAGTGTGTTTTGGAAATGTTTTCTGGGAAGATTTACTCCCTCATCTTTGCAAGGCTCAGTGTGGTGTCCACCAGCCTGTAGCTCCTTTGGTCCTCTTTTGAAGATTGCAGTGACATTTGCTTTCTTTCAGTCCTTGGGAACCTTCCCTAATTGCCATAACCTTACAAAAGTAGTTGAGACTGAACTACTACTTCTGCCTTCTCCAAAAACAAGACTAGCAAGCTGTGCTGTCAAAAATCATTTTGTAATGGTGTGGGATTTAAGTCTGATATTTACCTGAATGTTCTTTTGGGGATACTTCTTCGTTAAAATGTTGCTTTTTTTTTTTTTTTTTTTTTTTTTTTTACCGAGCAGGATTAAATCTGAAAAACAAGCAAATAATTTGATTAAAGAAGAAAGTTGTGGGATTTCTTGATTGCAAGAGGAAAGACATCATGTATACTGTAGGTGTCCCTTCTTTAAAAAAATAAATATGTTTCTTCATAGAACTTTTGTCTAAAGAGGAACGAATAGTTCTAGAGTTTTTCAGTTAAAAGGAAAAATACATTTTCAGCAAGCATTGGTCAGCCCTTCAGTGATCATTTTTCTTCCTTTTGTGATAACTAACATTGCCTACTGGTTTGTGTTAGTGACTAGTGAAAGTCATGACTTGTTTTCTGTCCTTCTTTTCCATCTTATATATGACTCATGAAGAATTTGCAGGTGTGGGTTTTTTTTTTTCAGTGGCAAGAAATTTTGCTGGAAACCCCTTTTATATCTGCTGATTAAAAAGCCATCATTATGTAGAAAAAGGTTTCTGTATGTAAAACATGGGCAATTCAGAATTAAAGGTGCCGCTTCCTTTGTCAGCGTTGCCAAATTAAGGCTTGTCCATGGGAAGGGCAGACAGAATTTACCAGCATCTTGTATCAAGCAGTCCTTGAGAGCAGCCCTGCAGAGAAGGGCTTGGGAGTCTTGGTGGATGAAAAACTCAACATGAGCCAGCAGTGTGCTCTTGAAGCTCAGAAAGCAAATGATATCCTGGACTCCATTGGAAGAAAAGCGGCCAGCAGAAACAGGGAGGTGATTGTTTCCCTGCCCTGGAGTACTGTGTCTAGATGTGGGGCTCCCAATGCAAGAAAGACAGAGAGTTGTTGGAGAGGGTCCGGAGGAGAGCCACAAAGATGATCAGAGGCCTGGACACCTTCCCTACAAAGACAGGCTGAGGAAGCTGGGCTTGTTCAGCTTGCAGAAAAGGCGGCTGTGGGGTGATCTCACTGCAGCCTTTCAGTACCTAAAAGGAGCCTACAAACAGGAGGGGAATCAACTCTTTGAAAGGGTAGATAACAGCAGGACAAGGGGAAATGGTTTTAAGTTGAGGGAGGGCAGATTTAGGTTGGATGTCAGGGAGAAGTTCTTTACTATGAGAGTGGTGAGGTGCTGGAACAGGCTGCCCAGAGAGGTTGTGGATGCCCTGTTCATCTCTGGAGGTGTTCAAGGTTAGGGTGGATGGGGCCCTGGGCAGCCTGGTCCAGTATTAAATGTGTAGGTTGGTGGCCCTGAGTGTGGCATGGGTGGGTTGGAGCTTCATGATCCTTGAAATCCCTTCCACCCCAAGCCATTCTGTGATTACAATACAAACATAACAAATAATTTTGTTATACTGATGAAAGAAGTATGTATACATCTTCAAATGAAATGTATTGAAGTATAAAGCAGTTGGGTGTTTTTAATGTGTTTTGAAAAATATTTTAACCTGAATATTAGGTCACTTTGTTTGTTTGTTTGTTTTACAATGGAGCCCCATCACTCTAGTGTTTACTCAGTCCACATTCCTATGTCTCTTAACTCCAGGGCTGGGAGCTCTGCTGCTTTCTTGGGTAGCCTGTTCCAGTGCTTGGCCACTCTCTCTGTGAAGAAATCCTTGCTGCTGTTCAATTTAAACCTTCCCTGGTGCAAACTGAGGCCATTTCCTTGCATCCTGTTACTTGTCATCTGAGGAAATGACACCCTCCTTGTTAAAACTGCTTTTCAGATAGTTGCAGAGGGTAATAATGTTTCCCCTCTGCTTCCTCTTCTCCAGACTAAACAACCACAATTACCTCAGCTGTTCTCTTGCTTCTAGTCATTCACCAGCTTTTTGCTGTTCCTCTTGGCTGCACTAGTTCTAATGCAGACCAAGATGCCATTGGCCTTCTCAACCACTTGAGCGCTCTGCTAGCTCATGTTCAGCCGGCTGTGATGAGCACCGAGGTCCTCTTCTGTCAGGCACTTTTATCTCCTCAGGCTCTTGCCATTGCATGGAGTTGTTGTGACCCAAGTAGCCAAGGACCCAGCAGCAAGCCTTGTTGATAGCATTGTGATTGGACTCAGCAGGAGCAGTAAATGAGTTACTGAAGTGATAAAGACCATTCAATGCTTTTCTAGAACAGTACATATCTTAACGATCTGTTTCAAGTACTTAAAGCTCTGCTAGCAGTTTAAGCTTGAAGTAGTACAAATATTGGAAT